ACACCAAAAATCGGAATTGAATCGGATCACCAGACACTGAGAGATTTGCACACCTAGCTATTATACAGATGAACAAAAATATTTTTAGATCAAAAGTTTTTGGAAAAATATAGAACAAGGCTATTTTAATTGAACACACTGCTCACTTCAGCTTTTGGAGATGCTGCTACTTCCTTCACTGCAGATGACAGCAGGTGCGGAGACATGCGTAAACACGCGCAGACAACGATCAGCTGATTCATCCATCCATTATCTTTACCCGCTTCTTCCTTTTTGGGTAACGGGGGTCGCTGGTGCCCATGTCCAGCAGTCACTGTGCCAAAGGTGGGGTACACCCTAGACAGATGGCAAGTCCATTTCAACCGGCGAGTCAGCAGACGTGCGCAGCCGGTGACAGGTGTTCATCTGAGCTTAATGCGACTTTTTAAACCTCTTTAAACTGGCCGGTCGGACCGACCTGCCTCCTCCTCAAAAAGTAGATTAACACAATTGTATATTGTGCATTTAGTTTTATTTGGCTGTATGATTTGTAAAACTGCAGAAGCCTGAGCCTACGTGCATAATTATTGCGCAATGCAGCAGCGATCTCTTCCACAGTCTGGTTAACTGCTGCACTCTTCTTTCTTTCCTCTTCCTCTCAACATATAAACTTACTGTCTCCTCCTCAACAAGTAGATTAACAGAATTTTACATCGTGCATTCTTAGTTTTATTTGTGCTGTATGATTCATAAAACCGCATCAAAGCCCGAGACCGGCCCGCACATTAATTACATTATAACGGCCCGGACCAGCCCTAATCCAGGTCGGGTTTCGGGTTCAGGTTAGAAATGACAGCTCTAGTGGAGAGCATCCTGTGCTCCAGCATCAACGTGTGGCATGGAGGCTGCACAGGTGAAGAAAGAAAAGCTCTGCAGAGAGTGGTGAAGGCTGCACAGAAGTCTGTTGGAGTCAGTCTCCCCACCATCACAGACATCTACACCTCCAGATGCAGGAAGAGGTCCACCTGCATCAAGAAGGACCCCACTCACCCAGCACACACACTTTTTGTCCTGCTCCCCTCAGGAAGGAGGTTGTGGAGCATTAAGTGTAGAACCACTAGACTGAGGAACAGCTTCTACCCTGAGGCTGTTAGACTCACGAATCTCTAACCAGAATAATCACTGTGAAAAATCACATCATGTTGCTGCTGATCTGTTTCATGTTGCTGCTGATCTGTTTCATGCTGCTGTGTTCATTCGTGCTCATCTGCTCACACAGACTCATGTTCATGCTGCTGTTCGGTGTATTGTTTTTATGCTACTAGTGCTTAGTTTGATTTTAATTAACGTTTTTCTTAGTTCATATCTTAGATCTTATTACTGTTTTTCTTTTACATTTTATACTTTTGTTGGATGTAACTGGGACCCTGTGTACATTATCTCGTTGCACCACGTGTACCACATGTGGTGCGTATGACAAATAAAGATTCTTGAACCCTTGAATGATGTTTATTTACCAATAAATAGTTTAATGTCTAAGCTTCCTCCTTTTCCTAAAGTGAACATGTATTCTGGCAAGCTTGATCAGCTTCTCTGGATGTTAGTTTTTGATGATGACAACGTAAACACTGCAAAAGAACTCAAAAACAACTTTGTGTGTATCATTGCAAGTCCAGGAGTTTGGACATTTGACATCAGAGAAATCACTCCATAAAAGCCGACTTGGCCTAATAAATGGGGGCGGAGATGGTGTAGAGGCAGGGCAGCCGACTCGGGACCCGAAGGTCCTGGGCTCGATCCCCGGTCATTGCATATTTCATGGTGTCTCTGAGCAGGACAGCTAATCCCGAATTACTCCCCGGGCACTCGCATAGCTGCCCACTGCTCCACCTGGGTGTATCCCAGGTGTGATGGGCCAAACGCAGAGAAACAATTTCATCTTTGTGTGGGAATATACAATGATGACAACACATAGCACTTATTATTATTTATTATACGTAGGCATGAAATGTATGCATTGGTGTGTGTGTTAAATACTTACATCAAAGAACAGTGGGTTGTACACAGGAAGAGGCAGGTCTACGTGTCCAAAGTGTCCAGGACAGTTGTTGAAATCCTGGCAGCAGGTTGAACAAACCTGTCAAAATAACAAAAATTATTATACAGCGTGCAATAGCTCGTCGTGTAAAATACTACCTGGAAATTGAGTTAAACAGACATAAAGTGCAACAGAAACACTAAATAATTTCAGGTGCACCTCTTTGATGTCTGCTGGCCCCAGAGCCAGGTCATACAGACTGTGAGGGGCCACATTCCCCACAGAGTCCAGAAACTTGGGGTTAGTGACAGCCTTCACGCTCAGCCTCCTGAAAGACAACAAATCTGTGATCAAAACTACAAATCTGTGATCAATAACAAATCTGTGATCAAAAC